CCCCCCCCCCCCCCCCTTTCCTCTTGGCCGTTGATGCCTCTCTCTTGATGAACCGCAGCACCGACCGGAGCTCGTTCCTGACGGGACCCGCATTATGGTCAGCGCCATATGTTTCCATCCACTGCAGCCCGACCTTTCTGACATTCTTGTTCAGAGACCTGGGGTGTAATTTTCTCAAGGCTTCAATGACTTCGTCTGGATCCTCGTTTTCTTCCAGCCATCTCGAACACGTTACAATAGCTTGGTCCACCTTGGAAAAAATACACTTGCTCTGCTTACTCTACGCATACAACACAAACCAACTTTTAGACAAACAACAACATTCTCCGCCCGGCCTGTGTAGTATACATACATAGACTAGACCAGGAATCCTTCGGTGATTCCCACACAGAACTCCACGTGGATATCGGCCGGCCGGCGGATCCATCTCCATCCATCCCGTTCGTAGTCATTCAAGATGAGGATTCTGCAGAAATATCATCAGAAGATGCCCCCAAGATTTCCTGAGGTGCCTGCCTCGATTTCACCGTGGATAACGCCATCCGCCAAACAAGGATCTTGGGTCATCGTGCCTGCTTTTTTTTTTGGAAATTCCGCCGCAGGTTATTTTTCCAGTCAGCAAACTGCGTGCCACAAATGTTTTTCTCTGTATTTGACACATATCGATGTTGCCTGGTACTACGGTATACTTCTACTTCAAACAACAACAAAACATGAAACATGACGTTCCATCCGTCCCGCCTCCCCTCGACCGTGACAAATCGACAAAAAAATGCCATTTGGACGCTCAACAGCAGGAATATCGAGCCATCCCCGAAAAACATTTCAGCTAGATACCGATTGGGGTTTCCGAATAAGGCGGTCCAAGCAAGATGGTCGTGGTCGCCTAACATGAGGCGGCTGAAATCGACGGGCGCAGGCGAGTCTAGTACAGTTGAGTACGGCCGCTGCCCCATATAAGGCGGTCATTGTCAGCTTCCCCGCCACAGCACCAAATTTCGGGGACTCCTTACTGTACACTGTCCCGCGCGAGGGAAAACCGCAGCTTATGTACCAAAAGCAAACCGCCTTTGCTCTCGCACTGGGCGTGCTCGTGCTTCTCGTGAAACGGAAACGGCGCCACACCCACCCACCACATCTCCCCCCCCCAGTCTTCGAGACGACGGGACAAAACTCCTGTACAACTTACCAATAAAAATTTCCACGGGAGACAACGGGAGATCACGAGATGCTTCTTCTCGCTTCCGTTCTGTTCTCCTGTCTAGGTACGTCCGAAGCGCCCCCCCTAATGACACTGAAATAAATACGTGTAGAAACAAGGCGCTCGGCAGCCAAATGCGATCAAGGACGCTCATGAACCAATTCACCCGGCACCAGACTTCCACCCTCAAGGAGGTCTCGTTGTTGGCACCGGCTCAAAGATGCACGGGGGCCAAGAAAACGGCATCATCCGCGCCCCCAGTCTCACCCAGCCACGGTGCCCCCCGCCACGACAGAAGCCGATGCGGGTGAAAAAAACAACCACAAGGTCAACCGACGAAAAAAAAACTCGTCGCTCTCGATCCTTCCGCGCCAACACGCGCACTCCCAGCCTGCCGGCGGACACAAAACTAACCCAAACACGCGCTTCGGCCGAACAGCTGGCGCTTCGTGCAAGCGCGCTACTTCGGCCTACTAGCACCCCCCACTGCCCGCACAATCTTGCGGAGCCCGCCCCTCCACCAGCAGAAACACACGGCGAGAGCCACTGCTCCACCTGCCTTGTCAGGAGGGGGTAGCCGGGACGGGGTGATGTCTGGTCCCTCTCCCTCCCCCTCACCCGCGGTTCCCTGGACGGCCCCGGCAGCAACGGCATCTGTCATTGTGGTCACCCCCTCCTCTTTAGAGGCGTCGCGAAACCCAAATGGCCCGGCGTCCCTCTTCCTCACCGAGCAACTTACTCCCCGACCTCCTCGTCCTCTGTGTCCACCTCCTCCTCGTGGTCGAACTCTCTTCCGTCGAAACCAGAAGCACTACCGCCGCCGCCTCCACGCCCTCCCCCTCCGGGCCGTCTCCTGGGGTACTCGTCCCCGGCGGAAGGGGACACGCACAATGAGCCTGCGGGCGCGAGGTCCTGTGAAAACAAACAAAAAACAAACAGGGAGGACTTGTAGTGGAGTGGGGAGAAGTCATGTCGTATTGTCGCATAACCGTCAAGTACGTTCACGTCAAAATGCGCGGCAGGTGATTGCAAGCCGGCAAATATCAACTTGGGTAGCAAAAGAAAGGACAAAAACGATGCGTTCTCCTATCTGCTGCCCACAAAACACAAGTACACACCAACACCACACGCCCAGCGGTGCCTACAAACACAGCACCTTCCCATCCCTCTCCCACTCCCATCGAACAAACTGCAGACCCCAACCAACAAACACAACCCCCGCGCGGTGAAAACAAAACAACACACGCGCGTAAGCATGCACCTTGACCGTCGGAGCCACGCAGACGAGAAGAACGGAGCCCGAGGTGACGTTCAGGTACTCGAGCGTTCGATGGTCGTCGAGTTCCTCTCCGTCGCAGCAGCCGTCCCTGAAGTCCGACGCGAGGAACAACCTCGCTCGCTTCACGGTCGCGCGCCGCAGGCTGATGTCTGGAGGAAGGGGCACAGCGGGGGGGGGTGTTGGTTTCGCGCAAGTTGATTGGGCCTGTCAATTCAGCACTAACGTAACTCGGCACGCACAACACAATACATCTCGCACCACAATGCTGTCCTCGAGATTTGCCGGCCTTTGACTCTCACCACTGCGGCAAGCTTCTTCTAATCCCTGGCAACGGCCGTCCGTCGAAGGGGTTTCTTACAATCGAGACCTGCACCGAATGTGTATCTCGTACCCTTCTGGTCAAAGGCCGCTGGTATTCGTTATATGCTCCCCACTTCACCCGTCGAAAAGAAGAATAATCCGAGCTCTTCATGAGAAAATCCGACCACAACCCCCCCTCCCCACACACACGCCTCTCCGAGCTACTCGCTGAAAGCACACCAACCGGCTGCCGGTTCCCAACCGCGCGCTTGATGCGATCAACACCTCTCTGGCGGGCGAATTCCACCGCTACGTTCAGTCATTGTAGCGACTGGGGGGCCGTGGGGTGGGAATTCAACACGTTGGCCAAGCCCGGCTTGTAGGGATGTGAGGTGAACGGTCTCACGACTACGGCATACACGGCCGAAAAAAAAAAACACACACACCCGACAAGGACGCACCTGCCAAGTGGCAGAAGTCGGCCAGTACGCCGCAGAGCTTAGTCGATCTTGGAAGCCGGTACGTCACGACACCGCCGCCGGCGCAGTGGGATACCCAGGGGCATGACATGAAGATCTCGACGCAGTCGGGGGCGGGAACGCCCCTCGACGAGCTGCCGTCGAGATGCCAGAGAGAAAGAAAAACCGTCGAGATGACAGAGGTCAACGCGACAGACCGGNGGGGGGGGGGGGGGGGGGGGGGGGGGGGGGGGGGGGGGGGGGGGGGGGGGGGGGGGGGGGGGGCACACAATGACGGAGACGTCATGCAAGCATGAACAATTACCGTACTTGTGCTGGTGTTGAACGGGGTGAGGGTGGGAGCCGGGATGGGTTTCGATTTCCAACCAATGGACAATCTGCAAATTGCACGTGCACTAAACGCTATCATGACCCGCCTCTACCCTTCTGGTCGTCCAGACCCCAACACGCCTCGCCCCATCTTTCCGAGGTGTTCCATGGCTAACTTACGACAAACCCAAGTACCCGCTCACGCACGACAAACCAGCGAGATCGACACGCACACATACGGTCCTTTGACTAGACGTGTTCGCGTATATTATCCCGCGAAAAGATTGACTTTTCTTGATTGGTCGGCCGGGTTAGCGAGGTCGATGCAAACTACGAATATCCAACACGCCCACACAGCAGTTGCACATCAGACACAAAGGCAAGCAGGCGAGCGACCAAAGACAGCGTGCCGCCGCCCCCCCTCTTAACTCAAGGCGCAACAGCAAGGCACCCCACCAGACGGACCTGACGGAAGCGCCTTTGACCACCTGCTCCACAAACTGCATCGTCACGCTCAGCGGCCGGGTGGTACGGGACCGGAACGGTGCCAGCCTCCCGGACTGCACGCTGATCCACTCATCATATTTCTTCTTGTGCCCCTCATAGTGAACCCTCACCAGCTTCCTGTTGCTGCCGGGGGGCGTGGTGCCGCCTTGCCCGAAAACCAGCGCCCCTGCCGCAGGACCGCCAGCCGCCGCCGCCGCCGCCGCTTGATCAACGGCGGCGGCGGCGATGGCTCCTGACGCCGCCGCGTCCGCTGCTCCACCGCCCGCAGGACCAGCGGCAAGGGCGGCGCCCGCGCCGGGGTTCCAGTTCGCCAACACAGGAGGCGGAGACCTCCTGGGACACGACCGCGGCGGGGGGTTAGGGAGAGAATCGGCGGCGGAGGCGACGGCGGACGCTAGCAACGACTGCGACGCCTTCGGGGCTTCGGTGGTGACCCAGTCCCCTCCGTTGCTGCTGCCGAGGGAAGAAGAGTTCGGGTCGGAAGCGCCTCCGTTTCCCCCGGCAACGTTGTCGGCCGCAGCCGCAGCCGCAGCGGCGGCGGCAGCGGCGGCGGCGGCGGCGGCGTCGTTGGCGGCTGCGGTCGCGGCTGCTGCTGCAGCCGCAACGTTGTTGTTGTTCGGATGGGGGGCTGCTTGCCCACTGTCTGCCATAAGGCCGAGCTGAAGCACCCGCCGCCACTCCGGCATGCCGCCGTTGCCACCTACGGGGTAGCCTGCAAGCGGGCCGCCGCCGCCGCCGCCGCCGCCGCCGCCTCCGCCTTGGATGCCACCGCCCCCGGCCACCTCAGCAGCAGGGGCAGCCTCGGCTCCAGCCCCGGCTCCAGCCCCGGCACCGCCATCTTCTCCCCACCCGCCAACGCGGAGGGTACCGACGCCCCCGTCCCCAGGGGCCCACATCACTTCCGCGCCCATCCAAACACCCGAAGGGTCGAGGACGTCCAGTCTCTGGCCGCGAGAAAACTTGCGGAAGCACTCACGCAGTCGCTCGCGCTGCCGCCGCTTGGCGGCCGTCAGGTCGTACAGGGTCGGCCAAAACAATCCCCCCATGCCGCACGCCGGCTGCGCGTTCTGGAGGGTGGCGCATCCGCTGGAGGCGGCGGCGGCGGCGGCGGCCGCGGCGGCCCCACCGCCGATGTCTTCCATTTCATCGTCGCCGTCCGCCGCAGCAAGGACCTGCGGCGGCTCTCCGCCGACCCGAGCGGGAAGTTCCACCCTACCCATGCCGTACGGGATGCACGGCCCAGCCACGGTATGATGATGGTACGGGAAGCCTTCCGGCGGAGTCCGCGCCGTCGCGGCGGCCTCTTGCTCCTCCCAGGGCCAAGCCCCGGCTGCTTCCGCCGCCGCCAACGCCGCCGCCCCGGCCGCCGCTTCAGGATCTGCGAAGGGGTGCCCCTGCCCCTGCTGCTGCTGCTGCTGCTGCCTGCGTCTGGCCACCGGCAGCGCGGCAAGGTTTCCGAAGAGCAGGCGCATGGCTTCCCGCTGCTCCGGGGTGAGCCGCGCCTCCCTACCGCTCGAGTCCCCCCCGTGACTGCCGCCGCCGCTGCCGCCCCCGCCGTCAGCGCCGGCGTTGCACCTGTGATGCTTCTCGTGAGGTGGTGGGGACGGCGAAGGAGACCTTCGCTGCTGCCCCGGCCGGCCCCACGCGTCGATCGGCAGGGAGCGGTCCTCGTCCTTCTCGGAAAGAAGACCGCGGCAGACTCCGGGCCACGCCATCAGTCGCTGCAAGCTCGCGACCCTCATGGTCAGGCTGGTTTGGGGCGGGTCAGGGCGATGGGAATGCGAGCAGCGGCATGTGTGTGAATTTAGCGAGGGACTGTAAGATGCATGCAGCCCTTTTGAGGGACGCCTAGCAAGGCGACACGTCGGCCGTTTGCTGCATGCTTAACCCTGCGCAACCAGGCGCGGAAGTAAAAAGGAGGTGTCAACGACAACGTCGCCACACACGGCTAAGGGAGACACAAACCAGCAGGCTTTGGCTAACCTGCCTCCCCCACACCGAATTCGGAGGATCCCCTGGGTGGGACGCCAGAGGAGCCCACAGATGGCACCTAGACAGGACCAGGAAAAGCAAGGCCGGCGCTATCGCGTCTACTCCAGATCGATGCGTCGGGGGGCGGAAAGAGCTACGCCTCTGTAGTACCCTCACCTATCGAGAACCCGCTCCATGTGGCGCAAGTATCCCGCGTTGGCAGCGGGGAAAGCATCACCGAGCCGCCGGCTGCGCGCGCGTCAACGAACCAGGAGGGATGTGAGCCAGCAGGAGGAATCGTTGTACACAACGGTCCCGGCAGACCAAAACAAGCCGTTCACTCTCCTTCCAAACAAATGGTATACCGTGACTTGAACGTGGACCCCAATGTAGTATCGGCACTCACACCGACCGCACTAGAAGAAGGCTTTTCGGGTCTCAGAATCAGCTGTGGTTCGCCAAACAAAAGGTTGCATGGGAGGGTTGCCGTTCACGCCGGGCGAGACACATCACTGCTACTGCAGCGCCTCGAGAAAATTACATGCGACGTGCATCCGTATGGCAATGTCTCGAAACAGATGAAAGCACGGCGACAAACTACACGCAAACGGGGCAACCACTCCGCCTCACAGCGCTAGTACTGAGCAAGCACAACCCACAACCACCCTTCGCCCGGGACACGAACAGAAAACAACAGAAAATTCTGGCCGGCTGATCACCAGGCAGGCTCACTCTTGGATGTCATAGAGCAGCCCCGCAGCCACAGTCAGGAGGCCGCTGAGCTCCCACTTGACGTGCAGCTCTTGAGTCTTGGCTGTCGAGAAGGCCGCGCTGCTGCACGCCTTTCTCATCTCCCAAGACCTGCGCACCAGCACACGACGGGCGCGAGTGCATGCGCCAACATGGCGAGGTTGGGTTGGTTCCAGCAAGGAGTATGTTTCGCTCAAGGTCCGAGAAAAAAATAACACAGAAAACAATTGGTTTTACGTTGGAGTATGCCTCGTTCGGGTTGGGACAGCAAACCAAGACGAAACGAGAGGAGAATAACGGAGTCATAAAATCGACGCAAGTGCAGCGAAAGGAAGGGGATGGCGGCACCGCTTGCTGCAGCTGCCGCCGCCGCGGTTGTTGCAGACGCTGCTTAAGGGCACAGGAAGTTTTTGCCTCTACTCGCCGGGAGCTCTTTTACTCATGTCGACATCGGAAGAGACTGCGGCCCAACCCTACGAACGTACTCACCCAAACACCGACAAAACCACTCTACAGGAACAACAGCAAAAATAGCAGCAGCAGCAGCAGCAGCAGCAGCAGCAGCAGCAGCAGCAGCAGCAGCAGCAGCAGTAGCAACAACAATACAACATGAACAACAACAACAACAACAACAACAACAACGAGTAGGTCTCACCGGATAAATGCCTCCCTGGATCCTTCCCAGAACCACTTCCCGGACGCGCCCATCACGCGCACGGGGCAAGCACCGCCCTCCTTCTCCCCCAAGAGACCATCCAACGACGTGCACGAACGGTAGTACAGCTTCGCCCAAGTCGCCTGTCGTTTGAACCGATTTGATGTTTTTTTGGCGGAGAAGCAGAGGAAAGCTGCATCAAACACTCATCCTTGTTGGCAGACGTTTAAGGTGTTCAGTAGGCTTCCAAGTATTCTCACTATGGTGGGGATGGATGGAGAGAACGATGCGTGTACGTCGCACCAACGGAGGATAATAAGTGAGAAGCTTTACGCTCGACGCTCGACGCTCGAGACAACCTCCGGACAGCTTCGCTCGTCGACAGAGGGGACCACAGTGTTGGCGGGCGTAGTGTTGGCATGTGTCCGCCGCGGTGTGGAGGCCCTGGGCAGGCACGTCATTGCTTTCCGTTAACGACTAGAGACAACCAAACGACGGTATCCAGCTAGATTGCATCTTAGCAAGCCCTTCGCTCTTAGCGAAAGAAAAGTGTGACAAGACGCAAGCAATAACTAGCGACCACACATTTGCTACACGTGTGTACCTCACCTCCTTACTGTGTCCTGCCATATTCCACGACGGGGAAACAATTCTTGCAGGGTACACGAGCTCGCTCACCTCGTCGAAGCAGAGAGAGAGCATGTGCTTGCTAGTTTGCGAGAGGCGCCCCAGGTCGCCAGCGTCCAAGAACGCATGCACCTTCCATGGTTGAGTCGTCGCGATTGAAAGCGTTTCCCGCGAGGGGCGGGGTATTGTTGTGTCGGGTGTGAGCACGCACATGTCGAGCGCTCCCAACACGTGCTCACCCCAAACGAAAAGGTGCTCACGGTCAAAATTATCCTTCCAAGTCAACTGAAATCCGGCATTGCGGCGAACATTGCAACAGCGGAACAATCAAGCGGCAACGGCAGCTGCCGCAGAAGGTGGGGTACCAGCAAAAACGAGCGGATCAGAACGACACCTCACCCCAGCGTTTTTTCACCAGCAAGAAGACCCCTGAACACAACTGAAAACGATAAATCAAGAGCGCTAATGGTCTTGTGCCCGCCCTGGCTGGGACTATTTACCCCGCACCACTGAGAGAAATAATAGGGGAGAAGTTCCGCACACCATTGGCGGTGGTCGAGCTATGGTTCGATGTTGCTCGCGCACCTGGAGAACTGTCTCGGACGACAGGTGCGTGAACGGGCAGCTGTTGCCGCTCGTTACGCAAGGGGGCTCGGTCTCAAATAGGTGAAACAACCAGCTAATCACCTGGCTTGCCTAAGGGAAGCACACACAAAGGCGGAGTGGCGGGGTGGGGGAGTGCGGGGG